ATGCAGCCCAAGTCTGGTCCAACCTTCCAGGTTAAAATGCGGTAAGTTAGGATTAGCTCTCCTCGAAGTCGTCGGTGTTGCACTGAATATATACCCAAGCTAATTAAACGCACGGGGTACGTTAGCCTCCGTAACCCCTCGACCAACTTGGCATCTTCTCTCAAAATCATCTTTAGTTCGCTGTTGTCTTGAACAAGACAGAGAGCAAGCCTGTACGCAGTATTCCAGATAGGGCCGAACAAAGCTGAGAACAACTTCACGAAGACGTCGGCAGTTTAGACCCCGAAAGTACGGCGCATTATCCCCAACGTTCTGAAACCCCTTCTTGCGACCATTTTCCACTTTTCACCAGAATGCAAAGACGAGGAATGGACGACGCCTTGGTCTAGATGGTTAGAGACAAGGGTGAATAATTCGAAGGTTGGAAAGATGCTCTTATCCGAAGGACGGAACACTTAGCCTGGTTACTGGGCAGTAGCCACAAAGTAGACCAGTCTGTCCAGGGCATGCTGCATGGCCTCAGAACCCCCAGGGAGATCTACATCATTCCACAGCTTAAGGTCATCAGCAAAAATAGGGATGATACTTCAATTACCTCAAGGAGGTCGTTTGCGTTGACGGAGAATAGCATCTGTCCAAGGACAGAGCCTGTTGTACACTGCTAAGGACCGCTTACCCAAAGGATATGCTGAGACCGACGAGTATACGTTGCCCTCTTCCCTGCTAAATGCAGAAGCCCAGTGAAGGGCACGGCCAGGTAAACCGTCGAAGCTCAGATTTTGTGGGGTACCTTAACAAATGCTTTCAAGAAGTCGACACACAGCACATCCACTACGTGGCCATTGTCCACTGCCTCGGACCAAGCCTCACGCGTAACCAACAAATTCGTCCGACACGAAAACCCTTCTGATATCCGTGTTGTGCACTACTGAGCAGATTAAGTCTATTCAAGTGACCTTCCAACGAATCTCTCACCAGCTTGCCAAGCAGTGTGACCAAGAAGTTAGTCAGACTGACTGGCCTATCATTGGCTGACAGACTTTTGTCGCCATTCTTGAAGATATGATAGATGATAGTCTTCTTCCATTCGGAAGTCAACGTACAGCTCTCAACTGACTTCTGAAACACCATCCTCAGCGGTCCACTTGGTTCCACTGTCAACTCATACAGAAGCTTCGGGTAAATTGATTCATACCCAGCTGCTTTAGAAACGTTCAGTTCAAACAGCAGCCTAAGGACTTGCATTTACAACACAGTAAATTTAGCTACATAAAAATCCTCAGGGACTCTGGGGACAACTTCAACGTTAGTCAAAGCTAGGTACTTTGATATAGATCTTTTCCTTGGCTGCCGTATGCACTGTCTTTCGGGTCTGGCTATGGGCTGTGTATCTCTATAAATCTACGGGGGTAACCATTCTCGATGAGTGTTATTGTAAGCAACTCTATATCGAGTTACCTTTGAAGGGCGACATTACTGTGTCGAAAACCAGGAAAAGTTTGTTCTCTGCGACGCAGGGAACTTACTGTGTTGCTCAGATTGAGGTCATCAATGGAACCTGTTACTCGCCGTTGCATCCAACGATGGAAGCTCGACCGATGGTGACCAACTCATCCTGCATATACAAATTCGTGTGCGACTACGGAGACAGTTACATAGACCGAACCAAACGGTCTTTGACTTCCCGAATAAGGGAACACGTGCCAAGTTGGGTTCAAGGTGAAATTGACCGGCATCCCTGTCCCACTGAAGTTCCGTGCTTACGCAAGTCGCCAGCTTCCTCAATAGGAAAACACTTACTGTCTACTCGTCACCGGATAGAGATTGGAATAGCGTCCACACTTGTGTTACGTCACTCTAATTCCACCTTCCTCCGTTTCGCTGGGGCCGTTGCGATAAACCGGATGAAGCCGGCCCTGTGTGTTCAGAAGCCATTATTTGTCAGTTTAAGACTGTCATGGACATAGGGACGGAACTCCCGTCCTCTATTTTGCATCTCATGCTTATTTGGTCACACATATAGTTAAGTTTATAGTTGCGTATCGTTTTTTGGTAATGGTACTCAGGAGACAATACGAAATGCATGCATCTACCGTCTTTCTTCTTCTTACCGCGCTTTTCAAAATACTCATATTAATTAGCTTTTGAGATCAGATGCATCTTTGCCTTACTTATCGTCCTGTCAATCCCGTGCGATAATAAAGTTACATATTGCTGAGACAATCTCCAGATCATAGACCAATGGTGCTTTCACATCGCTATATATTCGCCACTTTTTCTGCTGAATGTTAGCAGCATGTTCTAGCTAATCTCTTGGGGGTGGGGTGGGGTGGGCCAAGTTTCTTTTCATAGGCAACATTAAAGTCGACTTCTTATTTGATAGTCCAAACTGAGCAAAGTACCTGTTGTTCTTAATGTTATTAGAGCTCTCAGAAGCCAGTACAACACATGGAACATGGAATTCGCACCTACGGAATGCGTTTTTATGCCATGTGATTAAACCGTAGCTCTTGATGCACAGTGCAAATGTGGCGCATAGATTGCTGACAGCCATAAAGTATATGACCTAGGTTGGCAATAGTCAGACTTCCCTAACTTTTAGGAACAAGGAAGATGGAATTCAGCGAAACCTAGCGCTTTTGTCGGCAAAGTATATGAATCCATCACATACATAAATTCTAGGCTCGCATTTCGGCAGATCTGAAGATGGCAGGCTCTGGAATACTACTCTATAGTTTTTAGTAGCCTGAAATACGTGATAAAATGACACTGTGATAAATGCAACGCGCCCCTAAACGAGTTATGGGCTCAGCCATTGTGCTCATCGCAAACCTGTTTGTTAGTGTACGATATACGTGCCCATAGAGAACCTAGACATGTTGTAAATATAAAATAATTAGTATTATAACTGTGTTTTTTATACGCTAAAGCAACCTGCTGGCATTTTTTATTAAATCATTCCACTGACACTGTGTACCCACATTCCACATAGATTCATCCGTGACATATACAATTATGCGGGAAATAAGATGCCAGTAAAGATTAGAAAAGTGCAGCACGTAGTAATCTTTGTCTCGTTTAGAATTTTGATAATACCACCTATGTGTTACGTGCGCATCTTCACACTCGAAAATTCTCTACGGAATTATGAAAACACCCCTTCTAGTGGAGTACATATGCCAACTTGCTGCAGAATATATACCATAAATTTACCCTGTGCTTTACGTAACTCTCTGTATTGCAGTATGTAGAAAAACCATCAGCAAAAGCTTTATCGACTGTATCTACCTCATACATTATGGACAACATGAGTAATATCGATGAACTGGTCTTTTCCACAAGTATATCAATCGTAGAGATGTTTGTTCTAGCGTTAAAGTCTACACTTTCCATGGGAGTCTCCTGAAATACAATAAAACATAGCCAGTACATTTGGTCTATTGTGGAATTAGTTTGCCCCATAACATTAGCTTACTGGATCTGCACCTCTGACTGATTACAACAAAGACCCCAACAGTCACTTCCTCTGGTCTAAACACGGACTCAATCAACTTCAGGCCTAGTGGATGAAAGCGCCACACCGTTTGATCAAACGCGTTATGCCATTGCTCTTAATATGTCTGTGGTTTCGAGCACAGAGTCGTCGTATAACAATACCCAACGAACCAAAGAAATAATGCAGCGAAGAAGATTGGTCAGTAACTGGGAACAAGTAACGGATCAAAACGGGATCCGCTAAAGCTGAACAGAAGCAAACACAGTAGATCACAAATCCCTGTGCCGAATTTGTATTGTCCGTATACAGTAGCATGTCAAGAAGATGGTATTGCCTCTCTAAATAAAGAATGGTTCCATGTGTTAGCAACGCTTTCTATTTTCGCAGAAGTATACCAAATTGTTTGCCTGTTCAATTACACAAGAGTAAATGTTGCGGTGTGTACTGCTGTTTCAATGTTACATAAAGATAGTAAAGAGCAGTTTTTTCTAAATCTTCCATGCAAAATTTTTTTCTAAATTAACTAGAATGTCGCAACAAACGCAAGTACAGGCAGATTATCATCAAATTACTTTTTCATTGCAACATCTTTATGCCTAACTCTTACCGGAGCTATTTCAGCGACGCGTGTCTGAGATACATTATTAAACACAGTGATTGGCTCGAACAAAAGCTGCGTTCGATCCGAATACGGTAAGAAAAATGCGTGGCGAACCATAACACGTTCAACAAGTAGACTCAAATAACACATATAACGCGACTGCCACTCGTTTGAGGGTGATGTAATCTGGCTAACTATCCGCCCAAGGGATGTCGCCGTAATTCGCCATTTCGGATAAACAAACCGGGAAAAGAATTTATATTTTTCTCCTTCTGCCCGTTTTATATATCTTGTTTATGGCTTTTCCCCGGTTCCGTTTTCGAGGTGTATTAGTTGCTTTCGATGGGTATATGTTAATAAGCAAATAGTTACATTTGGTTTGCAGCACTAAGTTGTTGCCGTTGCCGTGCCACTTCTCTTAACGTTAGTCCCGTGTTAAAGGGTCCTCTCATCTAGGAATAGTTGGTCTTCATTTATCGCATCCGGACTCCTTGTTCTTATATATTCTCTGATTTGGAAGTATAAATTCATCAGTTACCTTTCCTGTATAGATTTTGATGGGATAATTCTCAATTCGTTCTAAGCTCTCAGTCATGAACAAGGTGATCCCGTCTCATTGAAAACTCAAAGGCTCATCATGCGCTTTAAGTCTGATTGTAATAGCAACAAACTGCAGCGCTTTACCGTTAACAAAATTGTCAAAATTGGCAATGATTAAATAGCGTCTGCCGCATTAAACCAATGACGCAGAGAACTATAGCATATTGGTCACCTAGGATTGCCGCCACATAGAGCGAACAACAGTAAGTATATCATCTGGTTTCAAGTAAAACAACAATCAAAGTGAATCAAACGGAGGCTCAGCGAATGCAGAAACTATAGTTTTATGGATAAATCACTCACCCATTCCTTGTGGTAGGTTAAAAAATGACGAAAGTATGCGACAAGACGTCGTGGAAGCTGTTTAAACTGCACCGCTAGGCTGAGCTGAGGTTTAGCCAACAGTGTCTGTACAACCAGTTTGATAGCTTCTGCAAGAAAACGAGAGATAAAAACCCAGTGTAACAATCATTTTCATGAGTGTTTTGCGTTGTACTTAGACTAAACATGTCTACCGTATATACAATATCAATTCGCTGCCTCAGGTCAATTTCTTTAGCGAATTTCACGACGACGAGTCACTAACTCAAACTTTTGATAGTATTGATTAACAACTTTTAACCTCAGGTGTAAAGGTAATTTGAGTGCCTGATTGGCGGTGCTCGCGATCGCTGGCCCTGATAGATATGTTCCCTGTCTAGCAATCCTTATGGGGACGAACACAAAATGATGGTGAACGAAACAATTCTCATTATCGCAGCAGGTTGCATAAATAAAATCTAAATCCTGCTTCCTTGCAATAACTAATGCAATTCTCAGCTGTCTATCAAGAGACGTGTGCGCCGTCTTGTATTATAGGCAAGGTTAAGATTGTTATACACTATGTGTTTAAAGCTACTTATTACGGACCCATTAAACACTGTGGTAAGTATTCGTGTAGTTTGGACCTGAATAGGTAGAACCATCTCCAATTAACCAAAACCCCATTTATGAGTAGCTATTTACTAATGATACCGACCGACCGCAGATATGTGCAATGATTTGGACAGAACCTAGCGGTTTTATGTCAAACACTTATGGTGGCTGCGCCTTAGAATATGCAGCATAAATACTAAACAAAAGACATAAAAGCAACAGTTTGCCTTCGAGGACGGCAAATTATAGTAAGGAGGATAAACGCAAATTAATTTCCAGTTTTTGGCTAATCATATTTACCTGTGACAAAACATTGTCGGAGTTTTTCGTTGGACACAGTCAACTTACCTGTGAATCGTTTCCATGATGTGTGTAGCTCAGTGATTGGCTTTAAACAATTAAACATAATGGTGAGGCAAAGTTCAGGACATGGCCGCGTCAACGGTTCTCCAGCGCACAGTGCGCATCGATGCATTCGCATCAGTTTGTGCATGCAAGATCCTTGGGCGGGGTTGAACTAAAGAAAAACAATGAAGCATAAGATGTGCATCCTCTAATAATCAGAAGCTATTGGCCGAATTCGCGTTGCAGCTTGACGATAATGGAATCTCTACAAACTAAATCATGATCTGTGGAAATATTTTGACGTTGAGGTTAAATCATAATAGATTAGAAGTTATTGTTCTAGTTGCTTAACTGCAAATCAACTGGACTATTACAGCGGAGATAATTAGGATCAGATATGCCAAATCGATTTGTACAGATTGGACAAACCATTTCCAGATATTTTATTTGTACGAAAAGCTAATTTGGGTATATGGATTAAATGCCGACATAATAATAAGTAACCTAGCATTTTCACAAAGAAAGAATAAACAGGGTGTATTCCGATTCCGTGGCCGTTATATAAATACTAGACCGCCTTCCATTTTCAGTAGCTGGCGAATTGTTTTTAAGCCCTGTCACATCAACTATACTGTTAATAATTGTTTATCCACATTCCAATCTGGGGCTTCTAGAGAAACGTTTGCGCATCTTTTGTAGGGTTTCTGGTTGCTTATTCGAAACTGTCCTACTAATTAAACAAAAAGTTTGGTTTTGGTTCAAAATCATTATTTAATTTTCGACTTAGCCTAGCTATTACTTTCCTGGGTCTTAGTTGCCGACTGTAAGGAGGCTTGTTGCATAAAGCATGTGTTAAATAGGACTTAATTAGAATTGCCTTTTGCTAAAGTCTATCACTGATTCGGCCTTCCGAGCGGATATTTCTGCTGTTGTTTTCTTGGCGTTGAGATAAGCTGCAGTTCAGTATACATATTCCGTAGATGTCTTCTAATATGAGAGCTACGCAGCAATTTTATTAGACAGCTATATTCGTAATATAGTCGAAGCTGCTATGGCGATCAGTCCAAAACATCCCCTATGTTTTCTCCTATGAGTAATGTCCCTATGCAAGAACCTGTCTATGGCAGCCTCATGTCCAAGACGACCACAGTTTGTCGATCTCTTGAGTGGTCGCCTTAAACAGGCGTGAATATAGATGAGAAATACTTGCCAGCCTGCGGATTTACTGTTTAAAATTCGGTTAAATGCGAGACAGTAGACAAGTAATATTTCGCAAATTGATTAAGGAAACGCAGTCTAATCCAATTATTTAATGCACTGCCCAAAATCATGTACGTCTTCAAGCTTAACATGCCAGTAATGTGCCCAGCCCCATGCAGCACACGAACTATCGAGGACTCCTCGATAGAAACTAGGTCAAAGACGAACGGATTCGACAGTTACTTCTTTAGCAGATATGCTGGAATACATGTTTACAATTCAGTGCGAGAATTTTACATAAGTTATAACTAAACCTCACCTGTACTTAACGTGATCTAGTTACTAAGCTGTAACAACGGAAATCCATACATATCAACAAAGTCCTGAATTAATGTGGTTCAGTAATCGGTTTACAAAAACAACTATGACGGGAAAGAGGGAAGCTCACTGAGTACACCTCTACATTCCCTTTATTTATCATCCGTATTTTTTGTTGCTTATCCCAGGGATTCTAACAACAAATTTGTGGTAAAAGTGAAAGCCAACCTAGTCATTTTCCATATCCTTCACATGCAGTCGGACAGGTCTTCGTACTGACTTTAGCCTTAAGCTTCATGTCGAAAGAATGGGCCGACCACACCTTCCTACTCCAAGTCTGCCATTGCCTTTTCCCTTTTAACCATACCCCTCGATCTACCCTCATACGCATGACACAAGCAACATTGGATGATTTTCAGTAAACAGCCTTGATCGATGCATCCCGTCCTAAAACGCTGCAACAAAGACATTTGTGTGTGACAATATTTAGTAACTTAGGTTCGGTCTATTTCCCAACTATTTAAAATTCCCCCTGAGCACTTCGTATTCAAATGGTCATAAAACAAAGGTAGTAAAGGGTCCCTAATCTTGAAAATCTTATTACCCATCAAGAAGACATAATTTCAAGGAGGCTTGTAAGCAATCGGTTTGTGTATTTGTTAGGCAACCTTTCGCTCTTGACACAAAATCTTCGTAAATCGATAAACAACTGGATCGGCACGATAACGGGAACACTGGTCAAGGTGTTATTATATTTACATATAGGATGCCATTTCAAGTGTCCTCTGTCAGTTGGAATAGTTCATGTGTTCCTTCTTGCATACTCGCGTTGACGGGTATGCCCTTGGTGGTCGCTAATGATTCCCTCTCATCTCTCTGGTGCACCCCAGGAATATCGAACAAACATTAAGAAAATGAAAAGCACCGCATAACGCGATTGTTGGAAATGTAGCCCTCACCCTAAATTGAGCAATATTGTGCAGCCGATAGCCGCACACAAGATTATGGCATACAGCTGTTGCACGAAGCTCATGAATCTTGACTGAGAAAGTGAAACTTTTATATGTAGGGAATGTCATGAAAAATTTGAAAAGCCGCCAACTGCATGCACGAACTCATTGCACATCTTATATATTGCGACAGTATATGGGCAGAAAAGCTGCAAATTTTGATCTTGTCCTTCACGGGAATATTTACTGAAACCAGGAAACCTTGGTGCCAAGACAGAAACCTGCGACTGCAAAAGCTGAAACAGTGGATTGAGTTAGAATTGGGCTATTCTGCAATGCATGCTTAACGACGAGGTTACAACATGATTACACGGATTTAGGAAAATCTCACCTGCTTTTATGGATCAGACTTTTTCAAAGTGTGTATGTAGGTATTTGAAACCAAGCCCACTTCGGATGCGGTCTCTGTGCTTGAAATGGCATAGTTTTACTTCAAAGCGAATCGTGGCCTCAATTGTAATTGCTTGTCACAATCGAGACACACTGCAGTTATTTCAAGACTCAGTAATGTATTGTAAGCGCTATGTCGAGCTTTGATGTGGAGCTATGGCCTAGTTAGCGAGACAAAATCTCTAACCGCAGTGTTGTGCTCCTCTCTCAGCCCAAGCAGTCTCTACCTGAAGATTTCAACTCTGGAAGAAAGCACTCGGTGGTTTAGTGCAGTGCTGAGACAGGCTAACTCAAAAGCTTCAAGCCCACGCGATATCACATAATTTATGGCATTCAGGCTTGTGCCCCGTGAGATTGGTCAAACAAAGGATTTCGGGAACCTATATTCGTCGTCTGCTCTAGAAGAAAGCGAAGAGGATTAGAAGTAGTGTCCCTTCTGTTACATATTTGCCAGGAACTACACTGAATGCACCGTCATCTTGCAAGAATAGTCAGTTTGGCCACATCAGTTAGACTGTATGGGTTGCTGAGGCGTCAAAACTTTGATGGATTGGGATACGAACTAGATTGCAATTTAAGTGGAAATTACTCACCTCCTGTTTAATTAAAACAAGCGCAATATCACAACTGGTAACTTAGCCACGACGGTCGTCGCCGTCTCTCGTATTTAAGTGAACTCAAACACAAAATAGGAATAGGTCTCGTTGTGGGTTCTAGGCCCACAGGAGTGCAATGGACTGCGCCTTACTGACGATTCCCAAAGGATGAAAAGTCCGTATAGTATTTTTCCTTATTGTGGCGGCTGTGTGACTGGGTTCAGTTGCGAGGTATTTATACTTATAACTTTCTAACATCTTCTTTGGGCTAAATCATAGCATGTTACTCTTCGCAACAAATGCATAATTTTAAGGGGACATGTATTCTGATTGATGAATGTGGAATTTAGTCATGAAGCCCAAACAACTTTTTTCCTAGCCTGAGTAACCGATTCTTGTTGCTTTAAAATGCATAAATTATACTATGGCTACTTTTAGCAGTTTTCTTTATATCAATAGTGTGGCGACATACGGTTGCAACTCCACGGTTACAGCTCCACTGTGTCTCAGAGTGAGCTTTCCATTATCGCAGACATCCAAACTCCAAACAACTCAAACTGAAATGGACAAACAGAAATATCATGCGGGAACGAATAATATGCGTCATCCCACTTTTCCCTAAAAAAACCAGCAAATTGTTCACCGATTCATCTGGAGTGAAGAAAATCATGTGTCAGAAGTGAAACGTACCCGTAGTAAAAAATCTACCAAAGGCAAGGTTGAATTCAAAACCATCTGAAATCATATACTGACATGGTACTTAACGAACCACTCATCATTTATCACCTGGAACTAGGGAAAAAGCATATTGCCTGTCAGGTTCAGGCTACATTAATCAGGAGCACGCTGAACTCCTGTAGACACAGATCAGTTTGAATTTTGAATGGCCAACTACACGGAGTTTTAACTCTGCTTTACCAACCACAAATGTGTACCATCCTCAGCAGCCAGATTCATCCAATACATAATACCTTCACGTGAGCATTGATTGATTCTAATGTAAACATGAACTTCCTATAGGTGTGGCACTCTACGCAGTCGTTGAGGTCAAGTTGAAACGCTACAGAATACTCGATTTTGTAAACCAATCTGTTATCATTCGCAATTTATTTGTAAGGTAGAAAAGCAACTGGATCTGGAGCTGTACACTTCGAAGCAAAATCTGTGGTGTCATTTCTTTACCTCTGTTTGGTTTTGTCTATATTACAAATTTTTACCTAAGCCCGTTGGCTGTAGAACACTACCATAAAAACAATGTTGGAGTATGGCTTTTAAGTTGGCCAGAACATTCGGTACAACCCAGTAGGGTAATTGAGCCATCATTGAGCTTTTTGGTAACGTGCGTGCTAAAAGTTGCACTATTTTGCATTCCATGAGCCGAATGAATTATTCAATGTTAAAAGCCGAGCGGTGTGCATCGAACGGTTTCAAAATCCACCATATGTAAGGTTTACTTCATAATGTGATACTTAGCACTATCGAATTTATTTGAAGCTGCCTAGATGAATCACAAGCAAGTTAAAATTAGTGTACATTCCTTGCGAAATAGTTCTGACCCGTTGCGAAAATGGAGTTAAGCAGGATTCAGCAGAACACATTTCGAGCAAGCGGAAGGAAATAACCGGGTATATAGGAAAATGAAATGCAACCGCTCAGCT